AAGGACATATTTATCCCACTTAACAACAAAGCCAAAGTATCCAACCTTGGCCAGGGCAACCATCAGCTTTCGGAAATCGCCAGATGTGTCTGAGATGATGTCCTTTTCCAGCTCAGTTTTGTACACTTAAAGAGAGAGAGAAAAGAAGAAAGGATTAATGGAAACCATCGTTCATTAGAACCAACTATGGGTCATTAGAACAAACTAACTATGGTTAGTTAGAAAAAATAATTATGGTCTGTCAGAACAAACTAACTATGGTTAGTTAGATCAGGATAACTATGGTATGTTAGAAGAAACCAACCATCACTCATTAGAAGAAACTAACCATGGTTCGTTAGAACAAACTATGGGTCATTAGAACAAACTAACTATGGTTAGTTAGAATAGGATAACTATGGTATGTTAGAAGAAACCAACCATCACTCATTAGAAGAAACTAACCATCGTTCGTTAGAACAAACAATGGGTCATTAGAACAAACTAACTATGGTTAGTTAGAAAAAATAATTATGGTTTGTTAGAACAAACTAACCATGGTTAGTTAGAATAGGATAACTATGGTTCGTTAGAACAAACCAAGACTGAGCCACAGTTCTTTGTCTCCTAAATCTGCCTTCATTTAAACAAATTATTGTCTATCAAATGAGCTCAACATTGGGGGACCTTTTGCCAAGTAATGTCCTTCACCATTTTTTCTGTCAAACCCAAGAACGGTCAAGGAACAGGTCAAAAGTTTTGGTCACTCTGGATATTTTCCACAATGACACTGTGGACACATCACCACCCACTTAACCCTTCAGTAGCTGTGTGACCACATGTCCATTAGAACTGTATTTTCAACCGGTTTTACACAATAGGCTCAAGTTCCACTCACCACTTACTTAAACCTTCAGTACATGTTTGATCACATGTCCATTAAAACTGTATTTTCAATCGGTTTTACACAATAGGCTCAATAATGTGGATAAGTAAGGGTCCTGGTGGACCAGGGAAACACTCCATAACTGTACCTCCTCTTCCATGTTCTTCTGGGTCAACTTACTTTCTTTGTAAACTCTGTTGATTAAGTGGAGTTCCTGGTTTGTCCGCGAGCAAATGATCTCAATGAGCGTGTCTTCGTCTGTCCCCAGGCCCTGAAACACAAATGAGAAAAACCCATTAAATGCATTTTTGGTCAAACTAAATGCAGTTTTTGTTGAAGACAGGATAAGTTCATGATTTATAGTTTTCTCCTTCCTCAATCACAACCTCCCTAAATACACTGTGCACTGAACTGATTATCTCAGAGGCAAGCTAGGAAAATATATCCATGCATATCAGAGTCCTTATCACTTGTCACCAGAGTTTTACTGCACAGCCTGGCGTAAGAACGTCATGCCTGTCACATGGTCATGACTCAGCTTCTTTTGCCTGTCCCTCAAGTTCCACATCACACCCACTTAAACCTTCAGTAGGTGTGCAACCACATGTCCATTAGAACTGTATTTTCAACCAGTTTAGCACAATAGGCTTAAGTTCCATGTCACCATCCACTTAAATCTTCAGTAAGTGTGTGACCACATGTCCATTAGAACTGTATTTTCAACCAGTTTAACACAATAGGCTAAAGTTCCACATCACCACCCACTTAAATCTTCAGTAGGTGTGTGACCACATGTCCATTAGAACGGTATTTTCAACGTTTTATACAAAAGGCTCAAGTTTCACATCACACCCACTTAAACCTTCAGTAGGTGTGCGACCACATGTCCATTAGAACTGTATTTTCAACCGGTTTTACACAATAGGCTCAAGTTTCACTCACCACTTACTTAAACCTTCAGTACATGTGTGATCACATGTCCATTAGAACTGTATTTTCAACCAGTTTAACACAATAGGCTCAAGTTCCACATCACCACCCACTTCAGTAGGTGTGTGACCACATGTCCATTAGAACTGTATTTTAAACTGGTTTTACACAATGGGCTCAAGTTCCATATCATCACCCACTTAACCCTTCAGTAGCTGTGCGACCACACATCCATTAGAACTGTATTTTCAACTAGTTTGGCACAATAGGCTTAAGTTCCATGTCACCACTCACTTAACCCTTCAGTACGTGTGTGGTCACATGTCCATTAGAACTGTATTTTCAACCAGTTTAACACAATAGATTCAAGTTCCACATCACCACCCACTTAAACCTTCAATAGAAGTGTGACCACATGTCCATTAGAACTGTATTTTTAACCGGTTTTACACAATAGGCTCAAGTTCCATATCACCACCCACTTAACCCTTCAGTAGGTGTGTGATCACATGTCCATTAGAACGATATTTTCAACCAGTTTTACACAATAGGGTTACAGTCAATGCATGCCTATCTGACAGTGTATTATCTATCTAATTGTTTTGATCCCACTTAAACTGCAATGGTATGGAATAACGAAAGTTGTAGTTTGGTGAGAGACCCGCACACTTGAGCAGTGAATGCTAAAGACTCGGTAAAACTACAACTTCCATGATTCTGTATTGTTGCAGTTCAAGTGTGGTCAAGACTGAATTAACTTGACAGTGCAGACACACCTCTCTTTATTCACCTTCTTGTTGCAATCCAGAGCAGGGAAACGAGGCCCTAAGATAACTATCCACCACACTTGGCTGTGAAAAAACAATCCTTTTTTATTGAAGAAAAATGGTTACAAAATAAAGGAAAAATGCAAGTCAAAAGCCACAGCAAAATCAGCAAACATGAATTTAAATGGACAAAGCAAAACCAAGAGCCTCACTGGGAAAATACTGGAATCTGTTAGCAATCCACTAACCGTACTTGATATCCTAGAAATCTTTCCAAACTATGGCCAGGGAACCGGGAGAACTGCCAAGGTCTTCATCAATTCTGAAACGATGCCTGAACTGAGACAATCAGCTCGGCGTATTGCAATTAAAGCTCAAGAATTGGTTCCGTGAAGCGCCCTTCTGTTTTGAAGCCAATGTTTTTAATTCTTGAATTCGGGAGGATCGACGCAAACTGAGTGATTTACTTCTGTCTTCCCAAATTTGGCCCTTCTATTCTCATTAAGGTTCCCAGGTGCAGAAGGGAGTGAAAGGTCATGGCTTCCCTCTGAAACATTCTCATGAACACTGGTACTTTCATTTTCCAAATCTACAGAAGTTCCTTCCTCACTAATTTCAGGAACATTGGCATTTTCCAAACCTACAGACGTTTCTTCCTCACTAATTTCAGGAGCATTGGCATCAAGAGGTACATTTCCACTAGCATCAGTAAATTAGGCCTGGGCGGTTTCGTTCGTTAATTTTGTAATTCGTTAAATATTCGTTAATTTTAGCAATTACAAAACGATTACAAAACTTATTTTTAAACCCGGAAGTGTTTTTAAATATCGAAACGGCAGGCGCCAAAAAATTTTGTATTTCCGTCCATTTCGGAAATACGTAAGATGGCCGCCAGATGCTTGCTGGGAGCTCTCCTCTTTCTCCTCTCCTTAGCCAGTCAGAGCCTGAAAGAGGAGGAGGAGGAGGAGGAGAGGGCGGGGAAGGCGCCGGCTGAGCAAGCGAGCGAGAGGGCGAGCGACCCTCAGCGGGAAGGCGGCCTGTCCCTCCTTCCTCACCTTTGCGGTGGGTGTGCTTCGTTCTCCCAATTCCTTAGCGGAGGGCTGTGCTTCGTTCTCCCAATTCCTTAGCGGAGGGCTGTGCTTCGTTCTCCCAATTCCTTAGCGGAGGGCTGGGCTAGATGGCCTTTGGGGAGCCCTTCTCCCAATTTCGCATTGCTTCGGAGGAGCCGGGCCTGACTCGGCGGCAGCGCTTGAGGGCCCGCCAGAGTGAGTGCCTGCCTTCCCTCCTTAATAATAATTTCTCCTCCCTATTCTACTAAATTAATAATTAAATTAAAATATTGAAAAAATATTGAAAAAATATTGAAAAAAAAGGGCGCCAGCTTTACAAAATGTTTTGTAAATATTAACGAAATTTCGTAAATACCGAACTTTTTTAAGGGAAAATTTTGTAATTATTTTAAATATCGAAACAAAAAAACCCCCCAAATACAAATCGATTTTAGAAACAAATTTTTGCGTTGTTACCCAGGCCTAGTAAATATACTTTCATTAGCATCAGGAGGAACAAACAGAGAATCAGGTTCAAGTTCAAACTCAGGCTGAACCCCAACACTTCTCAACGTTTGCAGCTATGCATCGAATGAATCCATTTTTTGAGAAATAACTTTCAAAGCTCAGGAAAGAGTTTGAGATTGAATTATTATTTCTCGCCAACGAACTTCAGGTCGAAAGTGCCAATATTTTGAGACTGTCGCCATTGCAATGCACACAGGTGTTTTTGCAAAAAGCAGAAATCAATATGATATAACGAAAGATACGCAGTTCATTATCCCTGCTAATACCAAAGAAAGACAGAACAAAAATAAGGTTTTGCTCGGCACGTCGCTCTCTTTCCTACGTTCGGAACGAGCCGCCCGAGTTCAAGGGACGTATATTATGAAATATGTATTTCAAAGTCTCTTTTCTCTTTTCCTTTTCTTAAATGATCAAAGTCAAGATTTAATTTTATATGCTCGTCTTCGGCGACGGCATATAAAACCGCATAGAGAAGTGAGGCTTTGAACTCAAAAGTTGGAATTAGCCGGGCGTAAAGTGTAAATCAATTATGAAGCTGTTAATACAATAAGGGAAATTACTAATCCACATGAAAAGGTGTCAGGTGTTAATTAAACTCTTTGGGAACTCCGGCGAATCCGACGAGGTTCAATCGAAACGGATCTTTCCGCCGAAGGCTCGGAAAAGGAAACAGATTGTTAATTTCTGTTCCAATTCAGTTCCACCCGGAATCATTTAGAAAGCCGTTACTTTCTCTCTCTTTTTTTGGCTGCGATTCCTTGAAAAGAGAATCGGGCGTAATTAACGCCATGTACTTTATGCCGTAAAGAAAGAGCGGGAGAAGAAAGGAAATAAGAAGCGCAACCTTTGGCTTGAGAATTAGATACATAATTGATAAAAGGGGAATGCCTCCCAGCCAAAGAGATGGGGAAACTTTCTTGTTTTCGCAGCGAAAATGTAAGGCTGGGGAAACGTACGGAGAGCAATCGGAAAGGAATATTTTACATTTCGCCTTTTGCTTGAACTGGATTTGGAATAATAATAAATATATAACATAATACAGTATAATACAATATAATAATATAATATGAAAATTAAAAATAAATAATATGAATATAAAAGAATAAATATAAATACTCCAACTAATAATAATATAATAATATAGTCTAGAATAATAAATATAAATAATATAGAATAATAATAATAATAAATAAATATATGACATAATACAGTATAATATAATATAATAATATAATACGAAAATAAAAAATAAAAAATATGAATATAAAAGAATAATATAAATACTCCAACTAATAATAATATAATAATATAATCTAGAATAATAAATATAGATACTCTAGAATAATAATACTAATAAATATATGACATAATACAGTATAATACAATATAATATAATAAAAAATAAAAATAAATAATATGAATATAAAAGAATAAATATAAATACTCCAACTAATAATAATATAATAATATAGTCTAGAATAATAAATATAAATAATATAGAATAATAATAATAATAAATAAATATATGACATAATACAGTATAATATAATATAATAATATAATACGAAAATAAAAAATAAAAAATATGAATATAAAAGAATAATATAAATACTCCAACTAATAATAATATAATAATATAATCTAGAATAATAAATATAGATAATCTAGAATAATAATACTAATAAATATATGACATAATACAGTATAATACAATATAATATAATAAAAAATAAAAATAAATAATATGAATATAAAAGAATAAATATAAATACTCCAACTAATAATAATATAATAATATAGTCTAGAATAATAAATATAAATAATATAGAATAATAATAATAAATAAATATATGACATAATACAGTATAATATAATATAATAATATAATACGAAAATAAAAAATAAAAAATATGAATATAAAAGAATAATATAAATACTCCAACTAATAATAATATAATAATATAATCTAGAATAATAAATATAGATAATCTAGAATAATAATACTAATAAATATATGACATAATACAGTATAATACAATATAATATAATAAAAAATAAAAAAATATGAATATAAAAGAATAATATAAATACTCCAACTAATAATAATATAATAATATAATCTAGAATAAATAAATATAAATAATATAGAATAATAATAATAATAAATAAATATATGACATAATACAGTATAATATAATATAATAATATAATACGAAAATAAAAAATAAAAAATATGAATATAAAAGAATAATATAAATACTCCAACTAATAATAATATAATAATATAATCTAGAATAATAAATATAGATAATCTAGAATAATAATACTAATAAATATATGACATAATACAGTATAATACAATATAATATAATAAAAAATAAAAATAAATAATATGAATATAAAAGAATAAATATAAATACTCCAACTAATAATAATATAATAATATAGTCTAGAATAATAAATATAAATAATATAGAATAATAATAATAAATATATGACATAATACAGTATAATACAATATAATAATATAATAATAAATTAAAAATAAATAATATGAATATAAAAGAATAAATATAAATACTCCAACTAATAATAATATAATAATATAATCTAGAATAATAAATATAGATAATCTAGAATAATAATACTAATAAATATATGACATAATACAGTATAATATAATATAATAATATAATATGAAAATAAAAAATAAAAAATATGAATATAAAAGAATAATATAAATACTCCAACTAATAATAATATAATAATATAATCTAGAATAATAAATATAGATACTCTAGAATAATAATACTAATAAATATATGACATAATACAGTATAATACAATATAATATAATAAAAAATAAAAATAAATAATATGAATATAAAAGAATAAATATAAATACTCCAACTAATAATAATATAATAATATAGTCTAGAATAATAAATATAAATAATATAGAATAATAATAATAATAAATAAATATATGACATAATACAGTATAATATAATATAATAATATAAAAGAATATAAATACTCCAACTAATAATAATACAATATAAATAGTCTAGAATAATAAATATAAATAATCTAGAATAATAATAATAATAAATATATGACATAATACAGTATATAAAATAATATAATATAAAAATTAAAAATAAATATATAAATAATCTAAAACAATAATATAATAATACGAATATAAAAATATAAATACTCCAACTAATAATAATATAATAATATAAATAATCTGGAATAATAAATATAAATACTCCAACTAATAATAATAAATATAAATCTATATTTATCTATAATAATAATAATATAACTAAATATCAATAAGCAATAATATATATTATATTATTTATATTATTATTAGTTTGAGTATTTATATTTATTCTTTTATATTCATATTGTATTATGTGTTACTATTATTGCCAATCTAGTTATCAATGGGTTGTTGTAGGTTTTTGTTGGTTAGGCATACTACCCTAGTTATCAATATTTATTATTATTTTACATTATATTATTATAATATTATTGTTTTAGATTATTTATATATTTATTTTTAATTTTTAAATATAAATACTCAAACTAATAATAATATAAATAATCTAGAATAATAAATATAAATAATCTAGAAAAATAATAATATAACTAAATATCAATAAGCAATAATAATGATCATATATAATTGAATGATATATAGTATTATTTTACATTTTGCCTTTTGCTTGAACTGGATTTGGAATAATAATAAATATATAACATAATACAGTATAATACAATATTATAATATAATATGAAAATTAAAAATAAATAATATGAATATAAAAGAATAAATATAAATACTCCAACTAATAATAACATAAATTTAAATATATAAATAATCTAAAACAGCAATATTATAACATAACGAATGTAAAATAATAACAAATATTGATAACTATATTGACAACAAGAGTAATATATAATATAATACGAATGTAATAGAACAAATATAAATACTCCAACTAATGATAATAAAATAATATAAATAGTCTAGAATAATAAATAAATAATCTAGAAAAATAATAATAAATATATGACATAAAACAGTATAATACAATATAATAATATAATATAAAAATTATATATATATATATATATATATATATATATATATAAAATCTAAAATAATAATATTATAATAGTATAATGAATGTAAAATAATAATAAATATTGATAACTAGGAGAGTATGCCTCTAGAACATGGCCATATAGCCCGAAAAAACCTACAAAAATGCATTGATAACTAGATTGGCAGTAATAGTAATATATAATATAATATGAATATAAAAGAATAAATATAAATGCTCCAACTAATAATAATATAATAAAAATAATCTAGAGTAATAAATATAGTCTAGAAAATAATGTTCTGCACAGAAAAAAAATATTTGATTCAAAGAAAGCAGCAAAAAAAATTTTTTACCCAGAAAACAGCACTTTCTGCACAGAAAGTATTTGCAGAGTAATAAGTAACTTTCTGCATAGAGAACACCGCTTTCTGCACAGAAAAAGAGGAATTTCTGCACAGGATATATAGCACCTTCCACACAGAAAGTAGCATTTTCTGCACAAAAAACAATAATTTTCAGAAAGCAATATTTCCTACACAGAAAACATTCTTTTTCTGCACAGAAAACCATAGTTGAAAAAACCTTTTTTTGCACAAAAAGCAAAACTTCCTGCACAGAATATGTTCCAATACAGAAAACATTAGTTCCTTCACAGAAAGTGACATTCCGTGAGCAAAATAATAGTAGGTGAGTTTTGTGCAAAATAAATTCCTCGACTGTGAAAAATGTCCAAATCATTAGAGAAAACTTCCAGAAATCCCAATTGAGGCAGTTACAGATTTCAGGCAGCAGAGGGCAGCATTGGATAAAGGAATGAAGACATCGCAGAGTTATTTTAAATACAAATTTAGGGACTATGGAAAGTTATTATTATATTACCCATCTCTCCTTGCAGCTCAGGAACCTTCACACCATCCTATTATTATTATTATTATTATTATTATTATTATTATTATTATTGTCCGGGCTTGGACCCATGTAAGCCGCACCTTGGGGAGATGGTAGCGGGGTACAAATAAAGTTTTATTATTATTACTAGCTGTACCCTGCCAGGCGTTGCTGTGGCCCTCGGATAAGAGAGGGATTCCAGTTGAAGCAATAGACAGAAGGGACAGATGGAAGGGACATTGATGGATGGAACAGAAGGTAGATGGAGAGAACATAGATAGGTTGGTAGGTAGTAGGTAGATAGTAGGGCTGGGTAACCACGGAAAAATTTGTTTCTAAACTCGATTCGTTTCCAGGGGGCGCTAGCGTTTCCAAATTCTAAATACTTCCGAAATTTTGAGATTTCAAAATTTCGTTATTTACGAAATTTCGTTAATTTAGAATTGATTCGTTAATGGCGGACGCGATTGCGCACTATGCTAAAAAACCCTCCAAATGGGACAGGGGGAACTTCTGAAGCTTCCCTCTCCCTCTGTTGTTGACTGTTGGTGTGATAATTTATTTTTTATCACTGATAAAACAAACAACAACTATATTACTTGCACCAGACATACGGAAATAATTACGAAACAATTTCGAAACAATTTCGAACCAATTACGAAACAATTACGAAACAATACGAAATAAATTTGAAAAATTGTTTCGATTTTTAATTACTCCTCACACTATTCCTGTATGGCTCAATATCGGATCGTAAGCTAATTTAAATACGAATTAATAACGAGTTACGAAATTAACAAACGAAACCACCCAGCCCTAGTAGATAGATATGTAGATGGAGTGGTTGATGGATTGAAGGATGGATGGACATACAGACAAAGGGGGTTGGACTGGATGGCCTCTGGGGCTCCCTTCCAACAGGTTGACCATCTGTCGGGAGGGCTTTGATGGTGTCTTCCTTTACTGTAAAATGAGGTTGGACTGGATGGCCTTTGGGGCCCTTTCCTATCCCTCAAAGGGTTTCCCGCGCCCATCCTTCAGTACGTGGCATCCAAGGGGCCCTTCCTTCCCCGGTGGCGAATGGTGTCTTCCTGCCTGGCAGAATGGGGTTGGAATTGGATGGCCATCTGTTGGGAGGGCTTGAATGGGGTCTTCCTGCCTGACATGAATAGGGGTTCTGTATTCTGAGCCTGCGTTATCAATGGATCTGCTCTGAGCTTGATTGCTTTTGCTTCCGCAGAGTTTCCTTTCTCCCGAATCCATCCCATCGGCGGTAGATTAGTCAGGTCTGGAGAGATATTTTCAGGCAGGCCTGCGGGGATGAGGGCTTTTCCTCCAGTTCCTGAAGAGAGAGCCTCCTCCCGTGGGAGCCTGCTGGCCATGCACGTGCACTCCTTCCCTCCCTCCTCCCTCCCTGAGGCTTAAGTTGGACGTCTTTCTGAGGGGGGAGGAGAAGTGTTTTTGGGGGGTTTTGTGAGTGGAGGACATAGCTTGCTTGAGATAGTGTCTAGTGTCCAAATTTGGTGTCAATTCCCCCAGTGGTTTTTGAGTTCTGATGGTATCACAAAAAAAAATACATTTTTATTTATATAGATTGTTGTTTTTGTTGTTGTTGTTGTTTGGGCTTGGCCCCATGTAAGCCGCACCAAGTCCCTTGGGGAGATGGTAGTGGGGTACAAATAAAGTTTTATTATTATTGTTATTGTTGTTGTTGTTTGGGCTTGGCCCCATGTAAGCCGCTCCGAGTCGCCATTGGGAAGATGGTGGTGGGGTATAAATTATTATTATTATTATTATTATTATTATTATTAATCGCTGTTGTGTTCTCAAGATATGGCAGGAATATGGAGGGGTGGCCTTGCTTTGCGCTCACCTTCATTGCGGCTTTGAGCTCCGATGCATCGTATTGCGGGGGCGTCTTCAGCAAACCCAGCATGACCGCTTCCAAGTGTCCCGACAGCGCCGACTTCAGGGCCACCGGAAGTTCCTAGTAAAAGACAGCGAGGATGCAAAACCATGATTATATTATATTTTGCTATTATATTATTCATTATTATATTTTGTTATGATATAATGAAATATGAAATCATGATCTAATTCTCGGTCCTCCAATACAACACAAACGTCTGTTCGGAGTGAGGTGTGTAGTGCGCGCTTTACCTTCTTTGTCCTCCGCTGGTAGGCGAAAGCGATGTCTTGGCGCTGTTCGTTGCTGCGATTTGTCAAGATGTTGACGATGGTCACCTCATCGACGCCTGCAAAAGGAGAAGATATATACTATTTATCTGGTATTACAACCAGAACCAAGTATTGACACCTCTGGCCCACCCTCTGTTTGGATATCAGCCAGCATGCCAACATCTTAAATCAAGAAATTGCTTCGTAAGATCTACAGAGACATTTTCAGGAACACCTCAGCAAGCGAGAGTCCAAAAGTGGCAGGCTCAAACCCAGAACCTCAATCAGTGGCTGATACCAGATGAGAGACTCCCTCCTGTGCACACAGAAGACTGAGCGATCTGGAAGGTGTTGAGCAGACTGCGCTCTGGCAACATGATATGCAGAGCCAACCTCAAGAAATGGGGCCACAAAGAGGAGTCCGTGACATGCGAGTATGGAGAAGAGCAAACCACAAACCACCTACTACAATGGAGTTGATGGGAAGCTTCCCACTGGAGTGGAAATCATCTATTGGACAGATGGCAAGCTATTTAACCTCAGCAGACTGAAAGCCAAAACCAAGGTTACAACAACATCTGTTATAGAACTCCAATATGCTGATGACAACATCATGTGCGCATTCAGAAGAAGACCTACAAGCCACTCTAGACACCTTCACAGAAGCTTGAGAGAAGCTCGGCCTGTCATTGAACATTGAGAAAACCAAACTGCTGTTCCAGTAGTCACCAGCCATTCCCTCTCCAATGCTAGAGATTCAGCTTGATGGTGTAACATTAGAAAATGTTGACCATTTCCGCTTCCTTGGCAGCCACCTCTCCACCAAAGTGAACATTGACACCGAAACACAACACCGCCTGAGCTTTGCGAGTGCAGCATTTTTCCGAATGAAGCAGAGAGTGTTTGAGGACCAGGACATCCGTAGGGAGACCAAGGTGCTTGTTTATAAAGCTATTGTCCTCCCAATCCTGCTCTATGCCTGCAAGACGTGGACTGTCTACAGACGTGGACTGTCTACATGCAATTCCTAGAACGATTCTATCAGCGCTGCCTCTGGAAAATCCTGCAAATCTCCTGGGAAGGCAAGTGGACAAACGTCAGCGTGCTGGAAGAAGCAAAAACCACCAGCATTGAAGCGATGGTCCTCCGTCACCAACTCCGCTGGACCGGCCACTTTGTCCGGATGCCCGACCACCGTTCCCCAAAGCAGTTGCTCTACTCCGAACTCAAGAACAGAAAACGGAATATTGGTGGGCAGGAAAAGAGATTGAAAGACGACCTCAAAGCCAACCTTAAAAACTCTGGCATAGACACTGAGCACTGGGAAGCCCTGGCCCTTGAGCGCTCCAGGAACCCTAACACCAAGGAACTACTTTTTTTTTTCAGGGAGAAGGAACAGGGACTTCTGAAATAGTGAATCCCACAAGCCGCCAACAATTATAATGAATGTCATGGGAAGGAGGTTGATAAAAATGGGAAAGATATAACTGTGTGCATATATATTTGAATTATGTCTGAACTGAGAGGTTTTGAAAAGGCCTCTTCAATTGGGTACGCTGCCACCTTATTGTGTAATATCCAGGCTGAGTTGTATGTGGAGAGGATACTTAGTAACACTCTTCAGAGGGTTTAAATTACCAATGATGTTCACACACAGGCTGTTGTAAAGTGTGAACTATAATAAAACGTTTATTTAACAGGCTTAAACTTCTTCTGGTACAAATGCGTAGTGGTTTCAGTAAGTTACTGGTACATAGGCTTCTGATTACGTTGGATGTATTATTACATTATTATTATTATTATTATTATTATTATTATTATTATTATTATTATTATTATTATCTTGGAAGGCAAACATTCCCTAAAATCAGTAGATATTAGGCCTGTGCGGTTTCGTTCGTTAATTCGTTAATTCGTTAAACATTCGTTAATTTTTGCATATACGAAACGATAACAAAACATATTTTCAAACCCGGAAGGGTTTTTAAATATCGAAACGGCAGGCGCCAAAAAATTTTGTATTTCCGTCCATTTCGGAAATACGTAAGATGGCCGCCTGGCTTGCTGGGAGCTCTCCTCTCTCCGCGCCGGCTGAGCAAGCGAGCGAGAGGGCGAGCGAGAGGGCGAGCGGCGAGCGAGAGGGCGAGTGAGAGGGCGAGCGGCGAGCGAGAGGGCGAGCGGCGAGCGAGAGGGCGAGTGAGAGGGCGAGCGGCGAGCGAGAGGCGAGCGAGAGGGCGAGCGGCGAGCGAGAGGGCGCAGAGAGCGAGCGGCGAGCAAGAGGGCGAGCGGCGGGCGGCGAGCGAGAGGGCGAGCGGCGAGCGAGAGGGCGAGTGAGAGGGCGAGCGGCCGAGAGGGCGAGTGAGAGGGCGAGCGGCGAGCGAGAGGGCGAGTGAGAGGGCGAGCGGCGAGCGAGAGGGCGAGTGAGAGGGCGAGCGAGAGGGCGAGTGAAGGCGAGCGGCGAGCGAGAGGGCCCGCCAGAGTGAGTGCCTGCCTTCCCTTAATTTCTCCTCCCTATTCTACTAAATTATTTAATAATTAAATTTAAAAAATATTTTAAAAATATTGAAAAAAAAAAGGCCCCATCTTTACAAAATGTTTTGTTAATATTTACGAAATTTCGTAAATACCGAAACTTTTTTTGGAAAGTTTTGTAATTATTTTAAATATCGAAACAAAAAAACACCCCAATTACAAATCGATTTTAGAAACAAATTTTTTCTTGATCAAACAGGCCTAGTACATAAGCTTCTGATTACGTTGGATGTATTATTACATTATTATTATTATTATTATTATTATTATTATTATTATTATTATTATCTTGGAAGGCAAACATTCCCTAAAATCAGTAGATATACAAATATTTTTGAAAGTTGGGGGGAATGGTCCCCTGCTATCTTGTGTCATTGTATAGAAAATTCAAGGAGATAGTTCTTAGTTTTTTTAAAAAACTGTTTATAGAAGCTTTGAACATTTCCCAAAAATCTGTGGATAAGTGAAACGTTCTGAAATTTAACAAGCTACCGATTGTAAATGTGTTCTATAATCGTAGCAAGTTTCATCCCAATAGATGTAAAAATGAGGGAGAAAGGAGCCCCTGAAGTTTCCTACTTGTGCAATTACTACAATGAAAAAGTAACAAATATTCATTAATCTCATTATAGTAACAAAATTTTCACTAATGACATTTTAGAAATGCTTTAGAAATGAAATGCCAGTGACTCCAAATTTTGTAATGAGTTTAGAAATATTTTTTTCATTGATCGCCCTATGAGCAATGAAACAAAGTCAGAGGCTATGTTTATTATCCTACTGTTTTAATTACTTTTAACTGTTTCCTGATGTTTTTGAGCATTGAATTTTGCTATTGTTAACCGCTCTGAGTCGCCCGAGGGCTGAGAAGAGTGGTATACAAATATAGTAAAAAATAATAAATAAATAAGAATCTCTAGATGGTAACTAGGCCTGTTTGATCAAGAAAAAATTTGTTTCTAAAATCGATTTGTAATTGGGGTGTTTTTTTGTTTCGATATTTAAAATAATTACAAAACTTTCCCCCAAAAAAGTTTTGGTATTTACGAAATTTTGTAAATATTAACGAATTTTTAGAATATTTTTTGTATTTTTTAAGAATAATATTAAAATAATATTTAAAAATATTTTAAAATGGAAAATTAACCAAAAAATGGCCCAAATGTGGACCAAACACAGGCACGATACAGCAAATGAGAGCACACACCAACAGAAGAGTCTTTTCTTTTTTAGAATATTTTTTAAGAATAATATTAAAATAATATAAAAATAATATTAAAATAATATTAAAAAATATTTTAAAATGGAAAATTAACCAAAAAATGGCCCAAATGTGGACCAAACACAGGCAGGAGACAGCAAATGAGAGCACACACCAACAGAAGAGTCTTTTCTTTTTTAGAATATTTTTTAAGAATAATATTAAAATAATATTAAAAAATAATTAAAATAATATTAAAAAATATTTTAAAATGGAAAATTAACCAAAAAATGGCCCAAATGTGGACCAAACACAGGCAGGATACAGCAAATGAGAGCACACACCAACAGAAGAGTCTTTTCTTTTTTAGAATATTTTTTAAGAATAATATTAAAATAATATTAAAAAATAATATTAAAATAATATTAAAAATATTTTAAAATGGAAAATTAACCAAAAAATGGCCCAAATGTGGACCAAACACAGGCAGGAGACAGCAAATGAGAGCACACACCAACAGAAGAGTCTTTTCTTTTTTAGAATATTTTTTAAGAATAATATTAAAATAATATTAAAAAATAATATTAAAAAATAATATTAAAAATATTAAAAATAATATTAAAAAATATTTTAAAATGGAAAATTAACCAAAAAATGGCCCAAATGTGGACCAAACACAGGCAGGAGACAGCAAATGAAGCAAGCAGCACTCACAGCAGCAAGGAATGAATCCATTAATCCAGTTGCTAGCAGCCAAGCCAACCCAATGCAAACTCCCTCGCCCTCTGCAGCAAGCTACGGCCGCGCGGAGCCGCTTTGAAAGGGCTCGCCGGCCAATCAAAAACAAACAGCCGCGGACCCACGGTGCACTGCTTGGGAGCGCCGGATTGGCTCCCAGGCACCAGCAGCCTCCACCCCATTAACGAAACGAGCGGAAGCTCGTTAAATCTATGGGGGTTGCCGGTTCGATATTTTTAAACCCTTCCGGGTTTGAAAATGTGTTTTGATATCGCTTCGGAAATGCAAAAATTAACGAATTAATAACGAATTACGAAATTAACGAACGAAACCGCACAGGCCTAATACAAAGTTTCAGGGATCGGAAGAAACCACTTGCCTTGGGAGAAAACATCATGTGGGTTTACTCTACCTCGCAATAACATGTATGTTCCTCTTTGAGCAAGGGATGTTTCAGGATGCCAAACGGTGTACTTCAGGGCTACATGGGATATATAACATCCCCGACAAGGCTCAGGACTTGCTTTTCTTCTTGGTATATTTCAAGGTGTGGTACCAAGCAAGTCAATGCGTGCCAAGTGAAACGTTTCCACCAGGGCTTTGAAT